TGTATTTTTTAACGAGCCCTGTAACTGTCTGCTGCTCACTGAGCAAAGCAGGGGCCCAGCCCCCCTTCCCCCACCCCCGCCCTGGCCGCTCCCTCCCTGCCTGGCCCATGGCCCTCTGGCCAGCCTGCCCTGTGTTTCCCATTGGAAGGTTTTCTGGGCACCCCAGGGAGTGTCTCCCTGAGCTCCCTTCCTCCACTCACAGCTGGTGCTACTGACAAGTCTCAAGTCTTCTCTGAGCCTCAGTTTCCCCACCTGCAAAATGGGAGCTGTGCTAGGCGCGGCCACACTTGGCCATGCATCCTGGGCCACAGAGCTATGCTGATTTCCTCTGCATCAGAACAGGAAGCAGGGCAGGCTGGCCAGTCCGTGCTGGACACTGGGCCCTGGGGCTACCAGGATCCCCATCTCTCCACTCCATTTCTCTCTCCCTTTCTCCAGCCTCCATCTCCGTGTGCGCCTACATCCTGCTGTCCCAGTGGCTGGATCAGCACCCAGAGCAGCAAGGGTGTGGGGGGGGGGCAGGAGATCAGGAGTCTACAGCACCCAGAAGGGGTGGGCGTGAGGACGGGGGTGTGAAGGAACAGGGAGGGGAAGGGACGGGGGCAGCCTCAGCCCCCCAGGCCTCTCCCGAGCCTTCCCAGAGGCATCTGTCACCCGGAGTGATGGCGGGGCTGGGCTGGGCATGCCGGAAGAGCCGTAGCCGGTTTGGGAAGGCTGGAGGGTCCCACTTAAGCTCCTGCAGGCAGCCAGCCAGAGCGAGCCGCACTCCCCAGGGTCGTGCTGGACTTGGGCGCTGCCAGTGTGACCCGGTTTCCTGGGGCTGGCATGAGCTCCTGGGCCTGGAACACCTTTTCTGGAGCCTCAGCGTCATCACTGGGATCACTTGTAACAGGACCTCAGGGGAAAAGCCTCGCCTTTGTCACGGCTGCATAACCACCGGACTCCCGCCCCACCTCGCGCGAGAGGACACTGCACGGGGGACTCAGCAAACTGGGCTCGAGTCCTGACTTTTTTTTGGGGGGGGGCAGGGACCCTCCTTGATGCTGCTCAGGGCTTATTCTTGGCTCTGCATTCGGGGATCACTCCTGGTGGGGCTCAGAGCACAAGAGGGCTGTCAGGGATAGAATCCAGGCTGTGTACAGGGCAGCTCTGCCCACTGTGCTCTCTCTCTGGCCCCCACGTGCTGGCTCCTTACATAGAACAGGACGTCCCTGTCAGCCAGCCCCTTTCAGCATCCTGGGCTCCTGGGAGATCTACAGAGGCCTGTGTAGTAGGTGCCTGCTGCTCTTTGGTCATGTGACTGTGACGCTCCTGTTACCGAGTTGTGGTCCACCCACCTTCCTTGGCATTCAGGCTAGTTTGCGACTTCCTTCAACCAACAGAATGCAGCCAACAGGAGGCCGAGGGATTCCTGACCTGAGAACAGGAGTTTCATGTACTCAGCATCGGTGTTTGGTAGTGCCTGTCAGTGGTTACTCTTAACTCAGTGCTCGCTCCTGGTGATACTGGGGATTGAACCCAGGCCTCTGGCACGGAACACTGCTACAGCTCTTTGAGCCTTCGACTTGGCCCCAAACCTAGAATTTTGGCTTGGCAGCCTTAGAGTGTGGAACCGCCATAGAGAAGCTGGGTTGCTTTATACTACTCTGGCGGTCTGGGGCAAGGTGCAGGGAAAGATCCCCAGACAGGCCCCGCTAGACCAAATGATTTGGACGCGCGGAGTTCCTTGGCCTCAGCTGACTGGGCAAGGCATGATCACCTGACTTAGAGGCAGCCAATCCCTTGCCTGGCAGGCGCCCATTCCCTCAGCCTCTGGGGGCTGTGAATGAAGCATCCCTCGCAGGCCTGACTGTGCTTTGGCTCTGGGTAGAGTTGGAACGGGGGCTGGGGGTGAATTTCCACCCTATGCCGGCAGGCTGGTCACCTGGTCATCAGAGGACACCAAGCTGGGGAGAGACACAGAGAGGTGGAACAAGGTTCTGTGGAGGCCCCAGTAAATCACTGGGTTTACACTGGTTCCACTTTAATACAGGCTTGAATACAGCCAAGGCTGCCAGGACCCCGAATACCAGCTGGGGTCTCCAGGGCTCTTCTGACCCCTTCTCCTGGTGACCTTCTGCCTCTTAAAACATATCCAGGTCATAGCCTGGTCCTGCTGGGTCTGTCCTGTGCAGACTGGGGCGGGGTGGGGGGCTAGGAGTCTGTTCTTGTCCTCCCCTCACTGTTGTGAGACCTTTCAGGTGAATCAGAGGGTGTGAGCCGCCGGGGCCCTGCTCTGGCTCCCCAGAGCCTCGGGGGAGCTCTCTCCCTCCCAGTTCCCGAGTCTCACCAGCAAGCCCCTGCTCTGTCAGCACCAACTCACGGGGCCGCTGCCAGAGGTCACCACACACACGGTAGACCAGATCACCGGATCTGAAGCCCCTCTGCTTGGCCAAGTCCATGCTCCAGCCACCAAGCTGCTCTGTGACACTAGGCAGCTTCCTTGCCCTCTCTGAGCTCGATTCCTTTGAGGAGTCACTGAGGGGAAGGGGTCTTGCTGCTCCCTCTAATACTCACCTGCTGGCACCCTTCTGTGGCTGCATTCTCTTGGTCGTCTAGGTTCTCCATCTTCTCGTCAGGATCATGTCGCCCAGGGGACGAACGAGGGTCAGCGGCGCGCAAGGCGAGTGTTCCAGCCCCTGTACGGTCGGCCCTCCTCATTTCTCTTTAAGGCCAAAGGGCTGCCCGAAGCAAGCAGTCTTGCAGGATTCTGCTTCTTACCTTTACCCCAGGAGCTCAGCCCCAGGCTGAGAGGGAAAGAGCAGCCAGCTTCCCGCAGGGATGGAGGAGCAGGACACGTGGGCACAGGAGAGAGGCACCGGAACAGTGTGGGGTATGGGGGCCCAGGGAGCCTGCCCCACCTCCCAGGTCACCTCTGGGTTCAAGCTCCCAGCTGTGTGTGCTGGGCTGCAGCAGGGTACCCACGCCCTCTCTCTCCCCATCGGAGCACTGAGACACCAGAAAGCAGCCCCTCCAACCTGGCTTTCCAAAGATTCCTCCCTAGGGGCTGGAGCGATAGCACAGCGGGTAGGGCATTTGCCCTGCACGCGACAGACCCAGGTTCTATTCCCAGCATCCCATAGGGTCCCTCGAGCACCGCCAGGAGAAATTCCTAAGTGCAGAGCCAGGAGTAACCCCTGTGCATTGCTGAGAGTGACCCAAAAAGCAACAAACGAAGTTTCCTCCCTAAATGAGAGACCTTTCCAAGGTTCCTTGACATGAGAGCAGAGTGCATTGTCTGCTTCTGTAAGTGGAAGCCCCCAAACAAAAGCAGAAATAAAAACAAAACACTATGCAGGAAGGAGCAGTAATAAAACTCAGGCAGCCTGATCCTCAGCCCCACCTCTGTCCGACCCCCAGGCTTGCTGGACATACACAGTCCTGAAATCCCACTCCTCTGAAAACCACCTCAACATCTTCAAGGCTTGAACTTTCTCGGGGGTTCAGTTTCCTCCCCACCCCCCGAATAAATGAGGTGCATCACCACGTACCCTGGAGTTATGCCACAACCTCGTGGGCTGAGGGCCCAGAGCACGGGTCTCTGTCCCAGAAGGCGGGCAGGTTCCTGGAGCCTCACATGACCCCACTGGCCTCTGATGTACAGGCAACACACACTCCCAGACTCCTCACCGTGCCTCTCACATGCCTGATCATGGCCTCCTGCTAGCAGGGGGTACCGGGGCTTGATTCTGGGCAGCTGTCAGGCAGAGGTGAGGCTTGGGCCGGCTGGTCTCCCAGGCCCTGGTCCTGCCACACGACATTGTGGACTGCAGACTGCCACATGATCAGGCTTCAATCTGGGCATCTGCCTGAGCAGGACACGACTCCTGGCCGCAGGGCTTCCCGAGCACCCATTAGTGGAGAGGAGCAGCAGGGCAAATATGGCAGCAAGCAGTGCTTGAACAGGAACTCAAAACTCCCACCTGACCCCAAATCTCGGACGATCCCTGGCTAGGGGCTAGCTGGGTCCCCAGGACCATCAATATCTGCCCCCCCCAGATCCCAGAGTCTGATGGGGAGAGGTGCCTGTTCTTTGGGGGTCTAAAACCATAATCCAGAGGGCTTGGGGCTCTCTCTGCCCGGAGACAGTCCTACTTGGATGGGACACCGGAAGTTAGGCTGTGGGGCAGATGGACAGGTGGGTGCTGCCTGAGGCTGCGGGTGCCCCCGAGGAGCTGGTGGGAAGCTGCATGCCGGAATCTACGGCAATTTTGGCTAAGTCTGTGCTTGTGCGTGCCAGCCTCCTCCTCGGCGGGGAATAGCGGGTGGCAGAGTCACCCTCGGGTGCAATCCATGGGGCAGAGACCTGGGGAGAGACAGGATGCCAAGGCTGCCCTCACCGAGATGGGTGAGTGTATGGTTTGCTGGCCGAGCACCTGTCCCGGCTTCTTCCCAGGGCTGTGAATTTGGGAGTTATGGGGTCACCTTGGTGCTTCCCACAACTGTCCTGCCCCATCACTTCCGGGGGCGGGGGGCAGGGATTGGACTTGGTGCGAATGGCAGTATGGGGGGGGCCATCATGGTACCTGGCCAGGCCATACACAGCGGGAGCCCAGCTCCAAGGCCAGGAGAGGCTCAGGAAGGAGCAGGGGAGTAGGGGTGGGGGGTGACGGGAGCAGGGTTGGGGTGATGACCTGGGCATCCCCTGCACTGCCTCCACCTGCCCAGAGACAGCAGAGGGGAATGGACAAAGGCCGTGGAAGGGCCTGGAGGGAGCTGGCGCCCCAGTCCTGGGACAGGGACAGGCCAAAGCTGCAGGGACATCTGCAAGGGACATCCAGGGCTGAGCTGGCAGGTGTCTCACATGGGGACCTCCGAGAGTCCAGAGTCCTCTGCCCAGCCAGTGACAGTAGCCACAGCCCATGCCACGCGCCTGTAAGAGAGGTCCCTCGGGCCAGTCCCCCGGCCTGCCCCCCACCCAGAGCCCCACCCCTGCAGTGAAGAATAATGACCATAATGAGCACAGTCTCCCACACATGTGCACAGCGCTTTACAGGTTACAAAGTGTTTCACATACATCATCTCGTCAGTCCCTCACAACAGCCCTGTGAGGTAGGCCGGGAGGCAGCAGCGTCTCCGGGACAGACGTGGACACGGGGGCCACACAGTAGGTCAGCAGCAGAGCTCGGCCTGCCGGGGACCCGCTCTCTCCACTGACCGCCCTCCCGAGGCCACCAGCCCCTGTCCAGTCTCAGCCACACCTTGGCCTGCCCCCTCCCTCCTGGAAGCCCTGTGGCCTCCCCGGCTCCCTGCAAACAGCCAGCTGCCCTAGCAGGGGGGAGGTGCGCAGGGGAGGGGAGGCGGAGCTCCTTTCCTGTTTTCCTGAGTGACCCCTCCCCCACAGGGGAAGAGAAGAGAAAGGAGGAAGAGGAGGAGGAGGAGGAGGAGGAGAAGAACAAGAAACTGAGCTGGAAGAAAGCCCTGGAGCAATCAGGACGTCAACAGTTTGCATTCCGACTAGCTATAGGAAATAGTTTTTTTTCTCTTTTTATTATTTCAAGTTTTCATAAAAATCCATAATTATTGAAACCCAAGTTACAGAGGAAGTTCGTAACTTTTTTTAATTGAATTATTGACTGTGCCGTGTGCCGCTGCGTCGGCTTCCAACTCCAGCCTGCCAGCGCACGCTCCCCGTGCCGCGGGGGTCCCCAGGCCCGACCTTCTGAGGTCCTGGTAGAAAGAGGTGATGGGGGCCGGTGGGAGGGCCGCAGGGGATGGCGTGTGGGGGGAGACGGGAGGACAGGAGTCGGCGGAGGGGTGCTGGGAGGGACCCCGGGGCGGGCAGAGGGCAGCCAGGCCCCCGCGGCCGCCCCCGCTCCGGGACCCCTGCCCACCCGGTGCTCAGATCATCTTCATGTTGAACTTCCGGGGGGCGTCGGCGGAGCTGATGCCCGCGTCTGACTTGCGGGGCACGTACTCGATCTCGATGTTGTGCTTGGTGTTGCCTTTGCCCCGGCTCCAGAGGAACAGCAGCACCAGGCAGAAGAGGACGACGCCCAGGAAGGAGATGAAGCCCATGGTGGTGGCGATGATGAGGGTCTTGATGTCGAAGGGGAAAGGCACGGTGGCGCGGGTGCTGTTGGCCTCCCCCTCGCCCGGCTGGTTGGAGATGAAGGCGAAGGTCTTGTTGGGCTGGTGCGGCCAGTCGGGCGAGTAGCTGCGGACGTGCAGGTGGGCTGGCATGGAGTCGTTGCCGCCCGCGTTGGCCGCGATGCACAGGTACGTGCCGTTGTCCTGCACCTGCGCGTAGCGCACCTCCAGCGTGCCGTCGGGGAAGACGGTGAGGCGCCCGTTGCTCTTGGCCGACACCAGGTGCTTGCGGGGCGACAGCCAGAGGATGGCGGGCGGCGGGTCACCGTCCGCCCGGCACACGAACTGCACGGTGTGGCCTTCGTCCACGAACACCTGCTGGGCCTTGCGGTCCCGGATGCGGGCGCGGCGGCAGGTGAAGTAGTTGGGCAGGAGCACGTCGGGGAAGTCCTTGAACTCCTTGCCCTGCACGAACTCGGGCGTGGCGCAGGTGGGCTGCTGCCGGTTGAAGTTGAGCCGCCAGCGGCGCCGGAAGACCCACAGGAGGCGGCAGTCGCAGGCCAGCGGGTTGGAGTCCAGGATGAGCGTCTCCAGGTTACCCACCGAGTGGAAGGCCGACTCCTCCAGCGTGGTCAGCTGGTTGCCCGAGACGTTGAGCACCCGCAGGTAGTTGAGGCCGCGGAAGGCGTAGGGCTCCACCACGGCCAGCTGCCCGCCCACCAGCTGGATCTCCTGCAGCCGCAGCAGTTCGTGCAGCATGGAGCCCTCGATGGTGCCGATGGGGTTGTAGGAGAGGTTGAGGAAGCGCAGGTAGACCAGGTGGCGCACGGCCAGGTAGGGCACGGCCGTCAGGTTGCAGTGGGTGATGGACAGGGACGTCAGGTTGAGGCCGTAGAGGCAGTTGGCGGTCATGGTGTCCAGGTAGGGCCAGTGGGAGATCTCCAGGACCTTGAGCCGGTACAGCCTCTTGAAGGAGTAGTCCCGGATGGCGTTGATGTTCAGGTGGCGCAGCCGGAGCACGATGAGGCCGTGCAGGTGGGACAGCGCCTCGGTGGGGATGGAGGTGAGGTTGCACTTCTCCAGCGTCAGCTGCTCCAGGCTGTTGAGGCCGCTGAAGGCGCGGTGGGAGATGTAGACCAGGTCGTTGTCCCCCACCTCCAGCGACTTGAGGTTGTACAGGTCCTGGAACATGTAGTCCAGCAGGATGACGATCTTGTTCTCGCTGATGTCCAGCCTGGTCAGGTTGCTGAGGCCGGTGAAGACGCCCAGGGGGATGAGCTTGAGGCGGTTGCTCCGCAGCCCCAGCGTCCGCAGGTTGAAGAGGTTGTTGAAGGCGCCGGGCTCCACGGCGCTCACGATGTTCTCATTGAGCTCCAGCTCCTCCAGGAGCGGGAAGTTGGCGAACTCGTCCTGGTTGAGGGTCTTGATGCGGTTCTTGCCCAGGTCCAGCAGGCGCGTCTCGGTGGGGATGCCCTCGGGCACGGCCACGAAGCGCTTCCGGTGGCAGAGCACCGCCCGGTCCTGCGCCGAGCACTCGCAGCGGGGCGGGCAGCCGGTGGCCGAGCCCGACAGCACAGAGCCCAGCACCAGCAGGAGGATGGGCTGCCAGCAGGCCAGGAGGGGGCTGGGCATGCTCCTCGCGCCCCCCGCCAGCATCCTCTCGCTCACCTGCAGGGGACCAAGCACAGGACGGGGGGCCGGTGAGAGGGAGGTCGGCGGGCGCTGCACCCGGGCCCTGCCCTGCCGGGCTGTCCCTGTCGCCCACAGAGCAGCAAGCAAGGACTTGGACTTGACCATGCTGCGTGCCAGGGACCCCCACAGTGCCGTCTTGAACTCGGCCTCTCCTCCTCCCCTGCACTACTTCTTCCCTGCCCCTGCCCCTCCCGAGCGAGACGCCAGTGTCCCCGGGATGGACGAGGCTCCTGGTAAGGGCAGCGGCACCTCAGAGGGGCCCGGTATGGGCACCCAGCCTTGGCCACCTTCTTCACAGCTTGACCAGAAAGGCTGAGTCCCAGTGTGCATCCGACACCCCACCCTGCACACATCCGAGCCTCGGCTTCCCCTGGGGCTCACTGGCGATGAAGCTGACCCTGCGGGACTGGCCCTAGGGACTGAGACGGGGCCAAGGGGATCAGCGGGTGAGCTTCTCAGGGGTCAGAGCGAGGGAGGGTGCTCGCCACGCACCCGGCCGGCCTGGGTTCGATCCCCGGCATCCCCTATGGTCCCCTGAGCACCACCAGGAGTGATTCCTGAGTGCAGAGCCAGGAGCAGCCTCTAAGCATTGCCAGGTGAGTCCCCTGCAAAAAGAGAGTTTTCTGGGCGCACCCATCCCGCCTGGGGAGGGCTTGGGAGGCTGCTGGGGGATGCCTTCTCAGGGATGCCCTCTCGGTTCCACCAGAGCTTTCCCAGGGGCAGGGTCCCCCCGCCCCGCTCACACCCGCAGCTGCAGCCCAGCAGGCCTGCATGTCCCCAGTGATCATCAAAGCAGCAGCTCCTGCTGGTGTGCACAAGTCTGAGTCGCAGGAATAAAGCAGCGGAGGGGGGACCCCAGCCCTGATGCCCCCCGGGGGTCGCTCCCATTCTCCCCTTCCTCAGATTCCCAAGATGACCCACACAGGCTGCTGAGTTGGGGGCGGGGTACAGGGCACACTTCTGTCCACCGGATCCTAAGCCTCTGCCCCCTGGAGTTCCCCTCCCTGCCTGAGGGAACCCCATCTTCCCCTGATGACTGATGCTGGGCTCTGCATTCCTGCCTGCCTTCCCCACTCTGGAACCCACTTCTGTGCGGCTGCCGGTTGGGGGTCGGGGCCAGCCCAGCAGCCTGGGGCATTCGTCCCTGTGGGGCACTGAAGCTGGGAGCGGCGATGGCCTAGGGTGGCGGTGACAGTGGAAATGAGACAGGAGAAGAGTCGGGGCACTGGGGCCGGAGTTCAGAGGTTACGTCCCCCGACCAGTTGCTCTTCCTGCTCCATCTGCCCCCTCCCTTCAGGAGACTGGCCAGGGACCCAAGACACCCTTGAACTCCAGAGGCTGAGCCAGCTGGTCCCTAGGGTCACTCTTCGGGTCCCAGGGATGCCAGTCACTTTCAGTGCTCCCGGGGTCTCTGCCCTCAACCCTCAGGCAGGGCTGAATAACTGGAAGGCTGACCTGATTGGAATCTGCTCTCCCCACGAGCTCTGTCCACCCTCACCCCAGCCCTGCCCATCCTCTTTCCAGTCTCTGTCATGGCCCAGCCTCCCCCAGTCCCCCCCAGGCCATTTTCCAGAGTCACCCATGCTCCAGCAGCCCCCAGAAAGCAAACATCCTGACAGGCGATCAATAAGTAATCGGGCCAGGCCTGGAGAGGGAATGGAGCTGAGCTCCAGCCTGCAGGGCGGGTGGCCACGGAGGGGCTGGGCGGTCAGCACACAGGACCCCCAAGATGCTGGTGTATTAGGAGGCTGCAGAGTGCAGCGGTGCCTGCCCACTTGCCTGTCCCGCCGTGGCCTTCTGTGGACCGTCTCCTGCACAGACACTGCCGGCATGGCACCCAGGGCAGGGGCACGGGGGGAGGGAGGCACCTGGACCCCCAAGCCCAACAAAGCTTTGTCCTGGCTGTTGGAACCCGTGCCCTCCCGCACCCTGGCCCCCATCACGGCTGCCCAGAGGCCTCTCCCGGAATCCTGACTCTGAGGCCGGCGGCGGCATAGAGGGAAGGCGGGTGAAGGCTGGGTTATTTTAGGTTCGCGGTATCAATATTTCATGGTTTCCCACTCAGCACTCCTCAGGGACACAGGGATCCCCGGCACATGCAGACACGCCATCCCAGCCTGGATGTGCCGTGCCCAGGGCCTTGGGGTCCCCAGGGTTCATCCTGTGCTGACACCCTGTGCATTGGAGACTGGGTCTGCAGTGGGAGACAGAGATGGGGGGGAGGGGTGCAGAGTCACAGATCTGTGACCCGAAAGGGGGGGTCGAGGGGTTACTGAAAGAGACAGGCAGTCTTTTGCCCCCAGACGTGAGGTGGGTTTGCTTCATCAGAAAGGGAGGGTCTCGAGCTACCTCACTAAGGCAAGGTGGGAAGTCCTGGTGACACACCCTGTCCCCACAGTTTCTTCTTGGTCTTCAGCCCCAGAGCATGAAGCCTTTGGATTCAGCCCATGAAAGAAACGCGTGAGCAGCAAGTCCACCTGCCCAGCAGGTGCCACAGCTACATGGCAAGGGTGGAGGGAGGAGAGAGACGCATCTAGAAAGCACTAGAAAGCTCTAGAAAGTTCTAGAAAATGGGATGATTGCCCTGCCTGGGCCTTTCTCCCACAGCATTGGCCACCTGCGCCATACCTGGAGACCCCACTGGGCCCTCAGAATTCCCTTGAGGGTCTGTGGCCCCACAGCCCTTCTCAGTCCTCAGGAAAAAGGGATCGCCCTCTTGGTCCTTCTCTGCAGGCACATTGACCATCTTTCCCGGCTAGAGTCCTGCAGCTTCTTCCTTCTGCAGGCTGAGGGGCTCCAGGGGACCCACGAGACAGTGCTCTAGGCTCTCTGACAGGGAGAGGATGGAGTGTCTCCTGAGCAAGGGCTGGGGTATAAACACATTTCCATTAAGCCAAGTAGGGGCACTGCCATAGTGGTGGGCAGGTGAGAGGTCTGGGACCCCTGACTGTTTCCAGCTCCTGGCCCTTCTCCTGGCTGTGCAGGGTAACCCCCACTATGGAGGTGTGGACGGCTGACAAAGGCTCACAGTCAGCTGCTAACGGGGTGCTGGTGCTAACCGGCAGGGCACATGCAGAGGGGCTGCTTCCCGGGAGGGCACAGGTCAGGACAGGAGACCTTGAGAGCTGGGGCCTGCAGCCCGGCTCAGGAGAGAAGCCTGTCAGCAGGCACCATGGCCGGGCAGCTCCGTCCCCATCCTGGGCCATCCCCGCCCCTGCCTGCTTCTCCCCCTCCCTCCTGCAGTCGCCCCCCGCGGGGAGAGAAAAATCAACCTGCAGGAAAATTGAGGTCATGTCCTTTTCATGTAGAATCCTTTATTTTCCTCCCACTCTGGGTCCTGGCAGAGGGGCCGGGCCCCCGGGGTGTGTGCATGTGTGGCGTCAGCGGGTTGGCTGGGCATGTGTCCACATGTGTGTGCTCACATACATATGTGTACACAGGTGGCAACTGCTATGTGTCTGCATATGTTTGTGGTGTGTGTGGCATGGGGTCTGTCTGTCTGCAATGTGTGTGGTGAGGCCTGCTATATGTGAGTGTGTGTGTGGTGTAATTATGTGTAGTATGTGTGTGTATCTATAAGTGTGGTGGGGCCTACTATGTGTGTGGGGGGGCATATCTGTGGTACTGGCCTATTGTGTGTCATATGTGCATGTGTATATGTGGCGTGTGCATGCATGTGTGTGTGGAGGTGCTGTGTGTGGATGCATGTGTGTGTGTGTGTGGTAGGGTCTCCTGTGTGTGTGTGTACGTGTGTGTGTGTGTGGGGGTGCATGTATGAGGGTGCATCTGTGTGGAGCCTGCTGTGTGTGTGCATGCTGGTGCATGCTGTGTATGTGTGTGTGGGTATGTGTGTGTGGTGGGGTCAGTGTACCCCGTTTCTGTGGCTCACTGGCAAACCCTACCCTCTCCCCACAGTGCTCACTGGGTCACACGGAGCTGGGGCACTGCTCGACCCAGTGGGGTTATCTGCCTATTTGTAGGGCAGCCGCCAGACCCCTAGTCCTGAGGGGGAGCACCCCTACCCTCCCCACACTGCACAGCTCACTCAGAAGCCTCCAGCCTTCCCGACAGCCTGCTGCCCAGGCCATTTGCGGGATCCATTATGAATTTTAATTGTCAGAGCAATTTGAAAGGCTCTGAACAGGGAGCAAAGGGGTGGGGTCAGTGGCAGGAGCTGGGCTAGGCCCAGGTGGGGGAACCCCACAGCCAGAGGCAGCTGGGCTGGGGTCTCTGCGACTGTGCCCCATGGGAAGGGCCCGCAAGACCCCTTTCTTTGAGTTCTAGCTGGGAGGTCAAGAAATGGCCCTGGGGAGGTGGAAAGGGTCAGGCTTTGGGGGGCTTCCCTGCTGCCTAAGTGGCAGCCCCCGACTTGACCTGTCCTGGAACGGAGGAGAGGTAGGTAAACACGATGTGCTGGCCTGGGGGCTCAAAGGGGTCCCAAGTCCTGGACCCCAATTCCCACCTCTCCAGGTCTCTGAGATGCCCACTCAGGACCTGGAGGACAGAGAATGCCTCTGGGCCTGCACCCCCAGGTCAGGGGCCCCTGTACAGGAGCCAGACAGCCCCCACTGTCCCTCCTCCCTCACTTTGCTGGGCTCTGGGGGCCCCTCCCCAGCTGCCATCCCTCAGCTCTGCTGCCTGGGGGGCAGCTTAGGGTTCAGAAGCCTGGAAGCATGCCCTGTCCTGGGGCCACAGGGGAGCAGGGGGCAGGGAGAGAGGTGGGGGACAGTGTGGGATTTGGGGACCTCATACATGGGACACCAACAAGACTCGGAAACCAAGTCTGGGGTGCTGGGGTGGGCACCCCCTGCGCCGACCCCTGCGCCCATCACACCCTTGGAGGAGGCGGCTGCATGTAGCTGCTTTCTGCAGGTGGAGAACATGGAAGCACCAGAAGCTTCCATCAGTGGCTCAAGGGCGCCAAGGGGCTCTGTGACCTGCTCAAGGTCACCCAGCAAATGCAGTCTAAATCTGAA